GGGTTTTCTTTGCTAGAGAAAAACAGTCAATTAAAAAACAAGTAGTAACAAGAAAGCTTAATCAAGAGCTCGGGAAAGAAGGCTGTGGTGGGTGTGGGGAGCTCTTTTAAACAGCATGAGGGTCAGGGAAGACCACAAGCATGGGCATGTGAGCTGGAGGAGAGGGAATGGGACCTGAAGGTCCTGCGGAAGAGAGTTCTGGTTGGAAGGAGTACCCCGTGGCCCTGAGGTAGAGTATTCCTGTTGTGTATGGAATATCAGAAAAGCCTCGGAGACAGCACCCAGTGACTGAGGGGAGTGAAGGTTGGTTTCTGTACTGTCATAACAATGCCACAGGCTGTGGACTGAGCAACAGAAATCACTTTTCTTCTAGCTCTGGTGTCTGGAATTTGAGATCAACGGGTCCACAGGATTGTTTCTTCCAAGGCCTCTCTCTTTGGCTTGAAGATGGCCATCTTCTCCCTGTGTGTTTCTGTCCTAATCCCTCTTAACTGGACACAGTCAGTTGAGAAGCCACCAGTCAGTTACATTCTTTAATATTAAGTACCTCTTTAAAGACACTATCTCTAAATGTATCCACCTTCTGGGATACAGGGGGTTAGGACTTTCACATAAAATTTTGAGGAGGCCACAATTTAACCCATCAGTTAGAATATAATATGAGATAGAGTTGGGTTTGTGGCAGGTTACTTAGTCCTCGAAGGGCATTGTAAGACAAATGGCTTTTCCTGTAACTAGGGAACATGAGAGCATCTGGAGAGTGTCAGAACAGAGCAGAGACTGTGGGGAAGGTTGTGCGTTGGACAAGAGTGAGTGAAGGACACTGGGAAGGAGCTGTGGAGGCAGGATAGGGCCTGGACCAGGATGCTCATGGTGAGGTGGTGAGAAGAGCCATCTCAGTTTCCTTTGTGCCTCAAGATCCTTTGCAGAAACAGGCTTTTTCTGTTTTTCCTATTTTTTTCTCTAATCTAGAAGAGTTTCTAGTCATTCCCTGTCATGTCCTTGCAATTCTTAGTCCATTCTATGGAGTGACCCTTGGCTGGGACTATCCCTGTCTTCCACGAGCTGATTTCAACCATGAAATTCTGCTGTTCTTGGAACAATACAGCCAGGGTTATGCATATACCTCAGGTGGTATGGATCTCTGTCACTTGGGGTCTGCTGGGCTTCTCTGCTGGGAAATTACTCTTCATCTCCATTGTAATTGATTACTGTTTTGTTAGGGAAGATATTTGGCTATTATGTCTATGTTATGTTCATCACCAAATCTCTTCCCACCAGTTTTAGCATATACCAATAATGCCTGCTCTTGTGACAGTTACCCAACATGCAATAGTTGACATTGTGTGGAAGGAAGAAATTTCTCTCCTTCCTTATTCATTTTCTGTTTGACACAATGGGTTAATCTGTTCTTCACTGTTTCAATGATCAATGTGGCTTTCGGGTTTTTGTATTTGTTTTTTTAATATTCCCCTTATCTTCTTCTAGCAATTTTTACTTCTTGATCGCTATAATATTCAGGTTTATCATGTATTTTTCCTGCAAGAGCTGTTTATTCCAGAGGTCCTGGTTCCATCTGGTATAGTTATTTATTTTATTTTATTTTTTAATTGATTTTTTAAAAAACATAAATGACAACAGAATGCATTACAATTCATTAAACATATACAGCACAATTTTTCATATCTCGGGTTGTATATAAAGACCAATTCGTGTCTTCCTACAGGTACTTTGGTTAGAAGCTAATATCTGGTTTCTTAGTGTGGTCCCTGCTACCAGAGTGGCATTATTTCTATATCCTTAGTAGACAGAACAAGGAAATACATATGTGTGATGTGTGTGGATGTGTGTGTGTGTGTGTGTGTGTGCTGGGAATCCAAACCAATGGTTTTGCACATGCTAAGCACCAGCTTTACTAGTGAGCTACACCCTAGCTCATATGTTTATATTTCCAACAAAAATCATATATAAACATAGATCTATAAGTAATGCTGTTTAAGTATATATATATTCAAAACCACATGAGTTCTGTGCTAGTCAGGTTTACATAATTATGGCCAAAATATCCAAAAAAAATCAACTTAGAGCAGAATAAGGTTTGGGGGGCTCACCATTTCAGAGGTTCAGTCCATATTCAATTGACGTCATTGTTTTGGATATGAGATGAAGCAAAGAACCAGGACGAAGGACATGGAAGGAGAAGCCGCTTCTTTCATGGTGGCTTGAAGCAGAAAGAAAATGGAAAGGGGCTGCAGGGAAGACAAACCCTTCCTGATCACACCACTAGTGACCTACCTCCTCCAGCCACACCCCACCTGCCTACATTTACACCCCAGTTAGCCCATCCAAACTAGGATGGATTGATTAAATTACAGCTCTCCTAATCAAATTATTTCACTTCTAAATATTTCTGTGTTAAATTGAAGCTTTTGAGACACCTTATATTGAAGCCATAACAGCTCATGTTTATGTCACAATGCAAAATGCATTCAATCCATCTCCAGAGTCCCTATAGACTTAATAGTTCCAGAATTACTCCAAAGTCCAAGTCCATAGTTTTCAGTGAGACTCAAGGCCAACTTTTGACTGTGAGCCCCGGTGACAATATCAAAAGCAAGTTACATACATCCAATATATGATGGCACAGATTAAATATCCCCATTCTAAACAGGAGGAATAGAGGCATAGAAAGAAGGAACAGAACCCAAATAAGACCTTAACCTAGGTGGGCAAACATTTCCTGTAGGTTCATATCCAACATCTGGGCAGATGATGGTGAATTGTTAACTCAAAAGGTCTTGGGCAGCCCCATCCCTATGGCCTTGCTGGTTGTGGCCTATACGGCCTCTCTTTTCCTCTGGCTCTGCCTGCATTAGCAGCTTTCCTTGGCAGACATTCCACATTCCTGGCATCCCTTAATCTCCTGGGTCTCCCTGCAGCTTTGACTTCCTTCTCACAGCTTCATACACCACCCTTTCAGGGACTTCCCACAGGGATACCGACTCTGCCACACTTTCCCTAGCCTCCCAGGCCTTCCTTTGAAATCTTGGTGGCAGTTTCCAATCCCCTAACTCTAGAATCTTGCATTTACACAGAAATAATGCTGCATGGGTGATGCCAGAGATTGCAACCAGCTCAGGTAATAGCTGGGACCCCTGAAGTGGCTTCTAAGTACCTGTGCCGCCAAGCATGGTGAAATAACTTCCTTGCCCTCCTGCCCTGTATAAGTAAAGTGCACCCCCAAGGTCATTTAAGTGAGTTTTCACTTCTATATCCTTGAGCTGCAGTTGGTATGATATTGCTGATTCCTGAGATGCAGTCAAGGTGTCTTTCTGTTGTCTTAGTGCCCAGTACTTACCTTCTCTTTCATGATGGTACCATACCATTTTGGCCACAATTTTACATGTACTTCTCTAGCCAACTTGTAAGTTTTAAAAATCCTCCTCCTTCACTACTTTTTGCTCCTGATTCTAGCAGTAAACCTGGCTACAAACTGCCAGCAATATTCATGCCACTGCCTGATTGCTGTGCATGGAAGCACTGGGTAAGCACTTCACTACAGAGTCACTCCCCAACCTTTTAACTGTCTTGTTTTACACTGTGTAGTGCACAGGCATCCTTGCTTATACAGAGAGCTCTACCCAGTCCTTCTCAAGCACCACTCTACTCATGCCCTGAGTCTGGTTAAATATGTAGATTCTGTTTCCCTAGGACTGAGGTAGAGCCCCAGTTTCTTCCCAGGAGACTCTAAGAGGAGGTCTTCATACTGATGCTGCTGGTCCTCAGACCACACATTGGGTGTCAGGGCTCTCAGGTAATCCCACTTCATGCCCTGAGTCCTTTACCAGCTCCCGATTACCTATGAGCAAAGTTCCAGTTTCTGAGTGAGGGTTTAGCATGGGCCTGTTCTGCTCTCTCTGTACTCACTTTATCTTCCTCATCCAACACCAGTTCACATTCACATTCACTCACACACACACACACACACAAAAACACTTAGTCCTGAACACTGAGCTTCTTACTCTACTTTCCCAGTGAGATCTTTTTATTTCACACTTTGTTCACCTTGTTCTCCTACCATGAGTGAGTTTCTCTTCTTAGCTCACCACTCCTGTTTGGCCTTTGAATATTCTACTTCAATCATCTTTAGACTGGGTTATAAGTCTCCTGTTTTGATCCCAAGAAACCTTAGTTAAATTTATTTCACATTGTATTCAGATTATTGGTCTTATGTCCTGATTCTCTTTGAAGCAGAACCCACTCTGCTATTATATACTGGGTGGTGATCAAATGCATAAATTAAAGTGATTCTTCTCATAAAATATTTTAATAACACTTTGAGCAGTGGTTTTCGCCTTTGTTTTCTGTGCCCATTAGTAATAACTCCTATGCAAAGGTAGCTTAGCACTTTTTTTTAAACCATGGAATAGAACTAGCCTTTCCCCTCAGTAACTGTGATCAATTTGACCTTTAATGCATATCTGTAAAAGAAAGAAATAGTAATATTGCAACTGCCTTTAAAAAGTAGTATAAAAAATTGAAATTAGGTTATCTTTAAAGCATTTATTGCAAAATTATAAGCTGCCAGGATTATTAATTGTATTGTCAGAGCAGAATGAAAAACAATCCTAAAAAGATATAAGATTAGAGTGGTCAAAGAATAGGGTGTAGGACCTTTGTTTGAATATTTAGTTCATTATTAATTCTTAAACATGAGTGTAGTTACAGATTACTTGAAGAATTTTAAAAACTATGGACTCACAGTACTGACTCCTAGAAATTCCAGTTCAATATCTGGGAAGACATTCCACTAATCTGCATTGTCAGTGAACATTTTACTGGATTTTAGAATGCTGATGCTGGGTCCTTTAGAAGCCCTAGCTTAATAAGAGCATGGAATTTAGGTTCCCCTACTATCATGCAGGTAATATGAGATGAAAAGTTTGTTCAAAAAAATTAATTTGAGCTATAGGCAAATGCTATAATGAGAGAAATAAAGTATTTTAACAAGAATCAGATTTTAATGGCTTATTATTTTTCTTCTTTCTGCATAGGATGTCTAATCGTGATCGAACAATCATCTTCACCATTCAACAGCCTCGGTATTCCATTTTCAAGCTGTTTGACAGCCTCACCTTATTGGCTTCAGGAAAACTAATGTATCATGGTCCTGCACAGGGGGCTCTGGAGTACTTTCAATCGGCAGGTGTGGTTGACCTTTTCACGCACTAGATCCTTCATTCATAGACTCCTTGGTAGAGTACAGGGTTCCACAGGAGTGTTGCTTGATATCTGTGCAGACACACCTTGGGATCCCCCACTGTAAAACATCTTCAGTTAGTTTCATGGTAACTTTTGCTTCATTTTGCAGCACCTGCTTGTTTTTTAGGTCTTTTTCTTGTTTGTATTTGAGTGTGCATGCATGTGTGTGAGTATTTCTACTAGGACATTGTTCTGCTTCACAGCTATGATGTTCTTTCCCTGAACATTCAATGATTAACTGGTTGGACAAACAGACAGTTTCACATTTATGGTAAGGCCCAACATTATTATCTTCTTGACCATTGTAAGAGATTGTGGTTTTTTAGCTTTCCTCCTGACCAGTGATCTTGCTCTGCTTTCATGAGGGCTCATGGAGATGCTACTTTATTTTCTAGTAAGATTAGATTGCAGGTTTAGGCCCTGAATGGATTTGAGTGACCCATCAGTCAATAGAATGATCTTAAATCTGATTTTGATGTGCCAAAAATTTGGGGCTACCTCATTCTTTGTATTTCAGGTTGAATTATGTGATTTTAAAAAATGGCTCACTCAATCTGCTTCATTTTAGAGATATTGGTTGTGATTATAGATGTTTCTCCATGATCCCATATACAGTTTAAATAGTCACTGGTTATTTTTCTTAATTTTTATTTAATCTCTGTCAATTAAAAATGATCAACCATATATGGGTCTGGGGAATCCAGAGTAGACGAACTTAAGCATCAGATCAAGAGTGCTGCTATAGGGATTGGTTGAATATTTGGAATGATGGCAGGTGGATCTTTGTATTTAGATGGTGGAGAAACAATTGTTGCTGACATGCATCCATTATGGAATTTTAAAAAAACTCAGAGCATACTGGACATGGGTATTTAATGCTTTTTTTCTTGGACTTAGTTTTAGAATTATAAAGTTCTGATAAGCATCAGAGCATTTTGATAGCTCCTTGGGTTTCATGATTTATGATAGATGAAGACTAATGTAAGATGTTCTGAAAGGATAAAATAGGGGAGAAGAAAGCCAGAAGATGAGAGAGAAGTTGTTAGATTCGACTTAGCCTCACCTCCCTCACTCTCTGGAAGTGAGTCCTCTTTATTTTCTAAGACCATTAGGTTATGTTCTTAGGTGGCTTTTGTTCTCAGGTTACTGTGGTGAGGAATACCAAAACCCTGCAGACTTCTTCCTGGACATCATCAATGGAAACGTCCCTCCTATAAACAGAGAGGAAGAAAATGAAGGTATGTGTACCTGTTCGATTCATAGATATTTGCCTGATTGGTTTGGTTAATGTTTGACAATATGGTTGGCTGGAGTAGTAGCACAGTGGTAGAGCACTTACCTAGCATGTGTAAGGCACTGGGTTTGATCCTCAGCACCACATAAAAATAAATAAAATAAAAGTTCATCAACAACTAAAAGAAATTAAAAATGTGGTGGCTCATTAAACCATGGCTTTTTGAATTCATGTTAATGTGGTTGTGTCACACCAATCAACAGATAGACTTTGTTGACCATGAGTGCTGTGCATGTTTTTTTATTTTATTTATTAATGAATATTTATATGTTACTGTCAGTTTTAAAGGGAGTTTCCATTAAAAATAAACGTGCTCGTTTTTATAATATTTAAAAATGAGAATCTTATTTTAATGTAGTAATAATCGAGGAACAGATGTTTATATTAAGAAATATAACTATGAATGGTAAAAAGTAATTTTAAGAATTAGGTTCCAATCAGTTAGGAAAAGGTTAGTGAATTTGCTGTTTGCCACAAGATAATGACAGAAGTCAGGGCAATTAACAAGTTTATCAATGTGTAAAATGATAACAATGCTAGTACTTTTTCAATATTCAACCTTTAGAATTAAGGTGTTAACCAAGAAACAGGAAACAGAAAAACACTTTCAATCAGTTGTTAAATCTGTTAAAAATACTTCCCTTCTTTATCCACTTTTATTCCAAAGCCGAGGAGACTGAACAGCTTTTCCAGAGAGAAAAACCAGTAATAGAAGCATTAGCTGAGTTTTATGCCAACTCAGCCTTCTACAGAGACACAGAAGCTGAATTAGAGCATCTGTCAGGGGGTCAGAATAGCAGGAGTTTGGCCTTCAGGGAGATCACCTGTGTCACCTCCTTCTTTCATCAACTCAGGTGGATTTTCTGGCGTTCATTCAAAAACTTGCTGGGTTTCCCTTCAGTCACTCGTCGTCAGGTAACCTGCAGACTCATAACTGTGCTGTGAAATACTGATGTGGGAGCAGTTTTGTTCTGATGTAGTCTGCCTCAGGATTATGTGTATCTTCTACCCACCCTTCCATCTATTTGTTGTCCCTACTCCATTGAGGATATAGAGATAGTCAATAGGACAGGTAAAAATTAAGTCTTTACTAAGGAAACATTTTTAGTGGTTTCTAGGACACTATCAGAAGTTTTGTTGTTTAGAAAAGATGTAATATATAATCTAGTAGAAAAAGATTTTGGGGGTTCAATCAAGAATTGAACCCAGGGAGGCTTAACCACTGAGCCACATCCCCAACCTTTTTTATTTTTTTATTTTGAAACAAGGTCTCTAAGTTGCTTAGGGTCTTACTAAATTGCTGAGACTGACTTTGAACTTGAGATCCTGCTGCTTCAGCCTCGAAGGTCGCTGAGATTCTAGGCATGAGCCACCCATTCTCAGCTAGAAAACGAATTTTTTAATTAAACTAAAAGCAATGTCAGTCACATTTGGGGTGTTCTATTAGTTGGCGTCCTTCATATATTGATTTATTCCACAACTTGCATGCAGATCATTTGCTGCATTTTGGGGACTCTAATATGGTTGTGAACAAAGTGAATAAAAATAACAATCTCTGCCCTCATGGAACTTACTTTCTTATCAGGGTAGAGAGGTGGTAATTGGACAAATAAAATATACAGCAGCTCAGATGGCAGCAGGACTATGCAGAAAATTTAAGCAGAGAAGCAATAGAGAAGGGGAGGGAGAGGGCAGGCAGTTGGTAGAAGAAAGTTGGTTTGCAGTTGCAATCAGGTAATGAGGGACACCTGGTGGCATTTAGTACACCTGAGGGAGGTCTGGGATGTACACTTTCTGACAGAAGAACCTGTAGGCAAAGTGTTCTTCCTTATAATTGACCCTCCTCATTGAGAGATTCTAATCTTTGAAAATAGATATTTGTAAATAGATATTTCAAAGACTGTGCTATTTATACACAGGTAGTAACTAGAGTTAATAAGGCTACTCATTGTCCCATTATCTTTCTCAACTGAGATGAGATAATATTCTTTTGCTCTTTTCACTGGTTCTGCAGTGGTTGTTGATTATTACTCCTTATGTTTTTTTGTTATACTTAACCCCTGTAACACATGAAATCCTAGTTGTCCTAGTCGATTGGGCTGTTATTTATAAGGGAATTAATCTTACTGGTAGTTTTTTAGTTATTTTATTATCAGTCATTGAATTTCTCCTGAGTACTGAAAGAATATTGTTGGCTCTAATGAAATACTGCTAACTACTTCACATATACACTGTAATTTTCAGATACAAGTCATCACTTTCTGAGTATATCTGAGATCCTATATCCCCATTTGAACATACTGTCATTGCTCCAAATATTTTTGATCCCTATGACATTGACATTTCTGTTGGAACCAGGCAATTAGGTGTCTTAAAAAAATAAATTATGTCATTTGGAGACACATCTGGTGATTTAGATGCATCAACCTGGATTTCCCATGATGGAACAGTGAGCTACAAAGAGTTGATTATTTAAGGTGATTCATGCATTTAATTTTTCCTACTTGCCCCTCGAAGTGGTTTATAGTGCTTTATATAAGACATGTAGATGGTAGTTGTGCACAGGGCATAATTAGAACAGAGCGACTTTCAATAAACCAGGATCGTGTCTTGAGATTACATGTTCAAACTCTTTGTCTCATCAGTGAATTCAGTTCCCCAAAAGGAATTCCAGCAATTTTCTGAAAAGTAGTAGTCTCTAGAAGAAGGGTAGAACCTTGTAGCTCCCTGAGATTAAAGGAACAACTCTTGTTCAGGTTTGTAATAGGTATAATGTAGTACATTATATATATATACCTACAGAAATATAATTTTTAGTAAAGGGCCAGTTGGAAAATCTTTCACGCTTTTAAAGTATGAAACTACATGTTCACTGGCACAAAACTTGGGAGCTCAGTCAACTCTGAAAATTTGTTCCCCAAGTGTCTTCAGCACTCTGCTACCCTGTGTGGCAGTGTCCAGTTGACACTGAAAGGAATGTTAACTTGCAGAGTCGTCTACTCTGTTGTCCTATCAGCTCCCAAAACAACAGATACTTTAATTTTCAATTTAATTTAGAAAGCACACTAATAATACACAGTGTTTTGTATTCTCTTAGGGACTCTGGCCAAGCCATTTAAAGTGTTGATAATCTCAATGGAGAGATTTGATTATGCAGCAAAATATCTTGTAATAATCAGTGATGTGGCGGGATGCAGTGGCTCACATCTGTAATCCCAGCAGCTCAGGAGGCTGAAGCAAGAGAATCAAGAGCTCAAAGCCAGCCTCAGCAAAAGGGAGGCACTAAGCAACTTGGTGATACTCTGTCTTTAAATAAAATAAAAAAAGATGTTTGGGGATGTGGGTCAGTGGTTGAGTGCCCTGAGTTCAATCCCAAGTTGCCCTCCTCCCCCCAACAAAAAATCAATGATGTGCATGCAACAATTTTACCTCTAATCAAATTTTTTCTTTTTTCTTTTTCTTTTTATTTTTGATAAGCTATATTACACAGTCATTCTGGCACTGGCTGTAGGTGGCATTTTCCTTGTGTTAAAAAATGATTGTACTGACATCCAGGTTAGGTAAGTAAATTTGGATCTTTACTTGAGAAAATGCTATTACTTTTTTCAAACTTGTAAATATCCTTTAAGAATTTGAATTTATGATAAGTATAGAATAAATGTTACTGTTTAATTCTGGGTAGAATGAGTTGGTACATTAAAAACCAAATGGAAGACTAATCTTTCTTTTTATCAGATGCATGTATATACAAATGTACTAGTAAACTCTGATTTAGCCTTTTAATCATTCTTTTTAAAATTTTTTATTTGTTCTAATTAGTTATACATGACATTAGAATGAACTTTGATACATCATACATAAATGGAATATAACTTCTCATTTTTCTGGTTGCACATGATGTAGAATCACACCCTTTTGTAGTCATTTATGCACATAGGGTAATAATATCAGATTCGTTCTACTATCTTTCCTAATTCCATATCCTCTCCCCTTTCTTTAATCTCCTCTGCCTAATCCAAAGTAACTCTATTCTTCCCTAACACCCCCATCCGTTATTGTGAATTAGTGTCTACATATCAGAGAAAGCATTAGGTCTTTTTGGTTTGGGGGGGATTGCTTATTTCACTTAACATGATATTCTCCAGCTCCATCCATTTACCGGCAAATGCCATAATTTCATTCTTCTTTAAGGCTGAATAATAATATTCCATTGTGTATATATACACCACATTCTCCTTATCCATTTATCTGTTGAAGGACACCTAGGTTAGGTGTCCATAGTTTAGCTATTGTAAGTTGAGCTGCTAAAAACATTGATATGGCTGTATCACTAAAATGTGCTGATTTTAAATTCTTTGGGTATAAACTGAGGAGTGGAATAGCTGAGTTAAATGGTGGTTCTATTCCAAGTTTTCTATGGAATCTCCAAACTGCTTTCCAGATTGGTTGCACCAATTTTTAGTCCCACCAGCAATGTATGAGTGCATCTTTTTCCTCACCTTCTTGCCAACATTTATTGTTGCTTTTATTCTTGATAATTGCCATACTGACTGGAGTGAGATGAAATCTTAGAGTAGTTTTGATTTGCATTTCTCTTATTGATAGAGATGTTGAACATTTATTTATATATTTGTTGATTGATTGTATTTTTTATTTTTTAGTTGTAGTTGGACACAATAACTTTATTTTATTTATTTATTTTTATATGGTGCTAAGAATGGAACCCAATGCCTCCAGCTAGGCGAGTGCTCTACGCTGAACCCCAACCCCAGCCCGATTGAATGCAAAACTCTTCTGTGAAGTGTCTGTTCAGTTTCTTAGCCCATTTATTGATTGGGTTATTTCTTTTTTTGGTGTCAAGGTTTTTGAGTTCTATATAAATCCTGGAGA